TGCATACGTGCATGTGTGTGTGTGCATACGTGCGTGTGTGTGTGTGTGTGTGTGAAGGCAGCCCGAGGCAGACGCTCTGCTGACCACAGCTACTAAATCAGCAACACAAAACCTGCTTTCCTCTCTGCGTTTCTCATTTTAAACTCGTGTACGCTTGCAGAACAAAGCCGTCTCAGCTCTGCAGCACCAACTTTGTTCTTTCATGTCGTATAAAAATCTTCTCATCGCACTCGGAGGAGAGCAGAGGCAGCTTCACATCACAGCAATTCCACCTGTGGTAACAGAGGAAAGGGTGGCAACTGAGTGCAGAGAAATGCTCAGATGGAGCCCAGCCCTCACTGACAGGAAGCCAAAAGGCCATCTGCAGCGCGGCGCCATTGTGTGTCTGTGCATTAAGTTTTTTTCTTATGTCCCACATGAATTTACAGCCAGCCTTAAGTTAGCTGGATTGAATGCGGAGAATATATCATCATGTGCTGTGTGGAGGACAAAGGCAGTTTATTTAAGTGGAAAATGGGAAGCAGCAGGTTTGGATTTCAGCTCAATACTTTATTAAATAATCAATATAGTAAACATCATCATCGTCATCATCATGAAAAAGGAAATAAACAACAAAAAAAATAAAAAATAAAATGAAACAGTCACATTTGTTTTTCTTCAAGTTTTCCCCATCAACAGTATTTTCACTTTTAGAGAGACGCACACTTGAGTGGCTTTACAAAAGTCGCTCGAGGTGCTGTTTCATCTCGGTGCGACAGTTATAAAAGATGTCTGAGGAAAGTAACCATGGAAACTCAGGAGCAGCAGCAGCGGTGGAGGAGGAAATGGACTGGACAGTCACATATTTATCTCTGGACTAACATCTGTCCACTCCTGGCACAGGAAAAGACGCAGAAATAAAGTGAAGTTGTGGTGAAATTTTAACGTGTTGTTTTGCATCAGAGGACGCAGGCCGAGCCGGAGCCGCCTGCGACGACTGCTGCACGCACAATGGACGCCTTTGTGTCACCAGCTGGTGCATCGATGAGAAAAGCCTCTAACTCGATCAGTTCTTTACGAATTTAGCAACAAGACAGGGGCGAGCTCGGGTTTTAAAAAAGACTCCAGATGACCACATCTAACTTAGTGAAGTGACAAATGAAGCCTGGTGCGAGAGTGAGTCACGTAACACGCTTTGATCTTTCAGGACTTTCGAAAAACGAGCTTTTCTGTTTCGTTAAATGTCTCTAGTGTTTCTGAACATGAGCAGACCATAATGTTGATCGTTACACCTGCAGCCATGAGAGACTTTAATACTGACGACATCGTGTTTCCTGTAACCAATGAGATCCAGTTTTAAATTACCATAGAAATTCATTTAAAACATCACACATATCCAACAAAAGCAGAAGTAAAAAAAAAAAGAAAGAAAAATATCTAAACTACCTGGCTGGCATGCATGCTACTACACAGCAACACTATTTGTTTTTGTTCATTTTTTCATTCTTAACAGCTCTTTTTGTTACACATCCTGGTATTTACATCATCAGTCTAAGGCGTGCCATTGAAATGACACACCAACCTACAGCAGCACTGAAATAACACAGCTCACAGAGCTGTGGCAGCTTAAAGGATAAGCAGTGATGTACTTTCCAGATTTCTTAGTGTCAACAGATCAAATAATTATTGATACGCAGCAGCTTAAACACAAACACATGCTGCTTAATTTAATGAACATAGGCACTGTAGTTTTTCTAACTCGAACCCTGCAGCTGTAAATTCCCCAACTAATTTCCTCCTGTGTCATTGATGTTTCCTGTAAACTAAAGTGCCCACCCCTTTTTCATAAAATAAAAGTATACATTCACGTCCCGTCTTCAGTCAGAACCAGCTTGCAGACAAGTCTGAAAGTGTAAAAACCCAGTCTGATGCTTGTTGACAGTAAGAAAAATAAAGAACAATACCAGACTTATCTTTTAAGTCTTTTGTAACATTGTTCACAAACAGCCAAAGCCTCCTGCAAAGAGCCACCTGAAATATTCTGCAACTCTCAGTTGCCAAAGTCCCAGACGGAGGTCCCATCCTACAGAGCGAGGTCCAAACTGCACTAAATGTCGTGTTTTATCACGGTTAAATCTCCGGAGATGTCACAGGCATTGTGTGTCCGCCGTCAGTCAGAAGCAAGAATCCGTTCGGGACGCATATCGGGGGGTTTTGATTGGATAAAACAGAATTACAGTTCCAGCTAAAAAGCGAGTTATTTAAGGAACAGCTATACAGTCCAGCTGCCGACTGATTGGACAGATGTGCTGAAAAAAGGGGCGGGGGAGGTGTTGCCTTTTTGTTTAGGGTCAAATTCTAACGATCAGGCTGATATAATCGTGGTTCTGTGCTGTGTCTGTGCTGCTACAGAGAGTGAAGAATAGGCCACGTGTAAGAAAAAGGCCTTTTTCATTAAAAGAAAAGGGTCGCGATGTGCTCCTCTACTCCTCATTTCTTGCTCATGTCAATGAGATGATTTAATTATCACCCAGGTCTGCACGAGCTGCATGGTGGAAGCAGATGTTGCCCTTAACTTTGACCTGCATGCACACGCAAACACAAACCAAGCCGGTGCCAACAAACTGGCCCATTCTGCCCTTCCTCGTCCTGACAATGGCTGGCGGGTGCGGGGTGTCAAATCTAATGAAACAGGCAGGGAACAACAGCTGAGTGTGTGTAGGGAGGGGAGAGGCAGGAGGGGGTGAGTTAAGACACAAGTGTCCTTGTTAGAGATGAAACCAGGCCGCAGAGAGAGCTGCGCTGACCTACAAGTCCAAAATGGCTGCTGGTCAATGCTGTAGAGAAAGCGATGTTTCACTACTCGACTCTCCGAGCGTGACTCACCGCAGTCGCTCCTCTCAGGCTGATGTGAGCTCATGCGAGACCCCTCAGGAGAGCAGGGAGGCTCGACTCCAGTAAGCTTGGATGAGCTGGAGTAGGCGGTGGGGCAGCCTTCACTTTGTCAGAGCTTGGCTTGAAGGCTTCACTCGAGGGGAACTGTTTGCTTATTTCTCCATGTTTTCATCCTGGGTTCCCTCTATCTGTTTGATTGGGCTGCAGGATTAGAAGATGCTCGTGTATCGTACGACCTTGTGGCCGAGAATATAGCGAAGCATCACAGCAAAGTGATTGCCACGTGGAGAAGGGAGGCGGAGCACCAAAACCTCCAGATGCCCTGCTACAATAAGATTAAGGCATTTCCACTTCACACAATAAGAGATTTTTATGTTTTAAACAGCTTCTTGGTTCAAATTCATCATAAACCCCCTCAAGAACCCAAAATAAGGGTCACAGGAAAGACTCTGAAGGATCTTGAGGTGATTAAAAGAGGAGGAGAACAAAAAGATATCTTTTTTTCCACAAACATTTACCTTCTTTATGTAAATGACTTACATTTTTCTTTTAAAAACAAGTTTTACAATTAGACAACATACGCATCAGCGATGAGTCACAGACACACATATAATTTTTAAAGGAGCATAAGCCCAAAATAAGTTGGGAAGCCTCTTCATTTTTCTCCCCCAAACCCTTTAAATATGTGAGTTTATCAACCTTGATTAAAAAATCTAAAAGAATCCATACGTCTAGCGTTTTTCTGAAAATTTGAACATTTGGGCTTTAATCGAGCTTTTATTGTGCTGTCAGCATTACAAGACGTAGCTCTAGTTCACGGCGGCCATGAAGTCAAGCTCAGCCGCAATCTTGGCAGATTGGCTGATTTTAACGCAAGCCCAGATCAGCTGATTGCTCAGCCGTTACCCTTCTACAGAGCCAACTTTCTATCTCATATAGGGCAAGTCACTTTGCAACCCACTTCCACCCCAGCTCGTCCTTCCATGCTGTGTCTGACTTAATAAATATCACGTCTGCTGCCGCTGATGCCTGCTCTGTTCTCAGCTGGGTCTTGCAGCTGCTCTCCCTTCCTCTGGCTTCCCCTGCATGCATGTGAAAGAAGAGAGAGCTCCCAGAAAAAAATAAAAAGCCACCAAATATAAATTACTGTAGAACCAAATCTTCTTATGACTACAGTGGTTCAAATGCAGTTGATAAGCCCTTAAAATCTAAAAACAATGAACTTGGAGCTCATCTGTGACCCATCACTGACATGCACAGTAAAACACACGAGGACCAGGGATTAAAGCCACTGAAGCACAAATGCCAATGGCTTCATTCAAGGGAATAGTCGAGCGGAGGGAGGAACATGAGAGAAATGAACTCCCAGTTCCTGAGAGCCTGTTGATGGCAGATGAGGATGCGCAGGTGAGGGATGAGAAAGTGGGACAAATTCAGAAGCAGCAATAACAAACGCCTTTCGTCTGTCATTTCTGCCTGGATGGCCTCTGGAAAGATTTCCTGCCTCCACCTTGGACCCCAAGCTGCACACGTGTGTCACACATTCATGCAGCACGGAGAATAAAGCACACACAGCGAAGCATTTTAATGTGTGTGTGTCTATAGTCCTGCCCAGTCCTGCCTGGGCTGGATTAGCCACTGAAGGTCTGCAGGGCTGCCGACCGGACAAGAAGGGGGAGAGGTTGACGTAGGGGAGGGGCAGCAGTAATCGGCTAATCTCATTAATACCACGGCTGTGGGTGCCCTGTCAACAAGATGCAGGGAACAAAGGATGGGGTAAACAGCTGATGACCTTGGCTGCCGTCCAGCGCACGATGCCTGCGCGCACAGCCATGCATGCGCTCGCACCAAACATGCCCACGTAAACGCATGTTCGGCTTCCTCCTCAGGGTTAAATGAGACTTTAACACATGGAAGAGCCGCTGGCAGGTTTGAGTGAGTGAAGGGAAAAACAAACAGCAAGTGTTCCCTCAAAAGGCTCCACAAAAACACACTGCCTGTTCGTTTTGTTTTACTGAGCAAACATGGACGTCTCAGCTGTTCCCGTCAGTCTGAACCGCGGGCACTTGAGACGGCCGAGGATGTCAAGATGTTGCTTTGTATTATCCATGAAATTTTCATGTGGACTATGTTGTCTGAGCCCTATTTTCTCTTCTGTCACTATTGGGGGAAAAAACGTGCTTTGCGTAAGGTGATGGCATCTCCTTGCCTTGTGCATACAGATTGATTATGTTAAGGTGAGGCTGTGCAGATACAGAGGAGTAGCTGGGACGACTGGGACCAGACACGGAAGGGAGCAGGTGGACCAAATGGTTAAAGTAAACTCACAAACAGCTGTAAGCCCCACTCAACCAGTTATCTGTGGACGGATGGGACAATGGCAACAAGCACAAATGCAATGATTCAATACTTCTGTGTAATTCTTTTAAGATAGGCCTTCATAGAAGAAAAAGGGGTGGAGCAATCTGCATGACAATTATGTGTGTGTGTGTGTGTGTGTGTGTGTGTACGAGTGCATGAGTGTACACAAAGGCATGTGGTCAGCGAGGATGGGTGCTCACCGATCAAGCACCCGGCTATAATCCTGAGGGCCGCAGCCTCCTTCGCTCTTGAGTTCAGCAAATACTTGTGTGAAAAAGTGCGGGTCTGCATTGATGCGCAGCATCTTGGAGCTTGTGGCGTCGATGATGGCGAGGCAGCGGTCCCAGAAGGCCTCCTTGCCCGCCTCTACCAGGAAGGGCTTAAGAGGGTATGAGATCTCATTGCCCATGTAGGAGTAGGACAGGTAGAGGCAGGTGAGCAGGATGGCCTGCAGCTCGTGCTCCGACGCCACTAGATCACCATCCACTACGTCTCGGCACAGCATGTAGACGAAGACCACGTTGGCCGGAGTAACGAAGGCCTGGTCCTGCCAGCCCTGCAGCAGCAGCGAGCGGTCCACAGCCCGCAGCCAGAGCACTGGATCGGCCGGAGACAGATGCTTCAGGCGGTAGCAGCGACAGCACAGGAACTCCCCCAAACAGCGGAGGAGCTCGCTGGTGGAGGCCTGGACGATGACGCGCTTCGGAGACGAGGTCACCGTGCCCTGGGGGACTTTTTTCACAGAGGAAAGCTGCTGGGATTTGGTGTAGCCATATCCATGTCCCTGACCCATCCCCAGTCCGTAGCCGAGCCCCAGACCCAGACCGGCTGGGCCCTCGTAGCTGGACAGGTTGGCACATGACAGCGACTTCTTCACATTCTCACGGTTGAGGTGCAGCACGGGATCCTTCTGGTAGATGTTAATGTTGTTGTTGTTATTCAGAGGATCCCCGAGGGCCACCGGGCCACCAGAGCCTTTCTTCGAGTTGCCCTTCTTCTTTGTAGAGGCCACAAGTCTCTTCCATGTGAGTGCTGGGAGGAAGATGGACTGGCCCCTCTTTAGCCCGCGGTCTTTTTGGCTGTTGAGGGAGCGGCTGCTGAGGCTCGGGTAGTGGCTGAGAGAGCCGGGACGGTTGTCATAGTAGCCTGATTTGCGAGAGCTGGGTGATAACGATAGTACGGTGCCCATGGTGAGTCAGTCAGTGCTTCACAGATTATACTGCCTCACTGGTGATGAGGAGGAAGTTTTTCCTTTTCTTTTATTCTAAATATCCAGGAGGTGTGATCTCATGAAGAGGTGAGTAGTGCAGGCATGTCAGAGAGTGCTGAATGACAGAGGGAAAAAAAAGGAAAGAGTTTAATCTAATGCAAAGTAGAACGAACGTAAACAAAGCCACCTAATCCCACAAACACATCATCTACTGCCAAATGACCCGGTGGCTGACTGTAACCTCTTTAAACTCATCTTGTGCAGCCAAAAAAGGACTCAACTGTGCATTGAATTTCAGAGGAGATCCCAAAAGCGCCTCCAACATCCTGGAAATGTTGGGTAAACATCATGAATTTTTGGAGTAATTAAACCATTTTGGGATAAAAATTCACTGAGACTAAACATCTCTGGGGAGCTAATTGAAACTGCTGGTGCAACGCTTATTTAACGTTTAACATATTTAGTCAATGTGGATTAACACCATTTGTTTCAACCCTTAAGGGCAAAAAGCTCACAGGATAAACTGGTCTATAAGGGGTTAACCACCAGTCTAATTTAATCTCCCTCCAGATTCCTGGATTTTAAACTATTAAAGGGATTCCTCTCTTAATCAGCAAATGCTTGAACCAACATGGTGAATATATAGCACAGTGAGCACAGAATGCACTTCAGGCTGTTTACAGAGCTACATCTGGCTATTCCTTGCTTTAAACCTTCTCTTTGGTTCAAAGAGATGAAAAATGTGACAGCAGAACCAGAAATGTACATGACTGTCCTCAGAGCAGCTCACCTGCGTTTACGCGCAGTCCAGGTACGAGATGATTGCCCGCTTGTGCGTTCCTGCCGCAGTCCGCGACGGTGCAAAGATGAAGACATAGGCTATAGGAGCGCAACACATGCACTGATTCTGCAGCTGCAGAAAATAACCAAGGACCAGAGCGAGCGGGACTGTGATCTGAGTGCAGAATGAGAGGCAGAAAGTCACTCTCGCAGAAGCTTTGACCTACTATTCAAAGATGCCAAGTGTGGTGCAGGTGTCATCTTCTGCTGCACCTCAAAAGAAGGCGAATGTGAAGCGTGACTGCATTCCGATTAATTGTCTGTAATTTGCTTTTCCACGAGAAAAACGCAAACTTTCACAGAGTCGGAGTCCTTTCAATGCATTCCATCTCCTCAGCAGAGCTGTGCGTAAAGTCTCCTCTGTCTGACTTCTCCCGGTCCCGGGGTCGGACTGAAGGCGTTGCTGGAGTGTCCGCACACTGCGAGCTTCAGTCACCTAATGACCAAACGTCGGTCGCGGTGGCCAGACCTCTAAGAGGACTCTCACACATTAGAGACAGAGCAGCCAGTGAGCTCACGGAGCGGCTCGGCACACACCGCCCCCCTCCGACACAGACTCCTCCTAACAGCGCTCGACGGCCGCACACACACACACACACACACACACACACACACACACACACACACACACACACACACACACA